TAATGTTATTTGTTATATACTTTAGATGTTTAAATGTTGAATGGATCTGTGATAATAAAACCTACAAATAAAGGGAGATGTAAAGGAACAATCTATGTAGATTAACATGACACATGTCAAGTCAAACTTGTATATAGTGGAAGCTGTAATAAAGCAGTCTCATACAAGCAGTTGTCGAGTAGACATCATTTAAAGTCCTCTCCCCTCTCCCATCAGTGCACCCATCACAGTGATTTCAGTTACATTACACCACTGAACTATTTTGGATGGAATTTTCGATACTAGCGATACCTGGGTACTGTTTCCAGAATCTGCACGAAAATTGTTTCCATTTTTCAACAGGGTCGTGCGCATCTTGTTCTGTGGTTGACTAATCTCTGCTGTGTGCTTTCACTAAACCTCTTCTATGCATAGAATAATATCTATTGGTAATATATTCCAAAAAAATTTGATCTTGAAGCAATAAGGATACTCTTCATTTGGTGAGTATACAGTGATATATTTAAGTAGATTCTAGGACGTTCAGTATATATGAGAAATTGCGTTTAACGTAATCACTAGGTATCATCAACTATGTCTTGAAACGATTCCTTCTAGTAGTTTTCTTTCCAATAAATAAATAACAAAGATATAATGATGAAATCTCACAATATATAGTTGAAACAGAGGAGTATAGTTAGAATACTTCATTATCAAAAGTTGTTGTTTCAGGGATTTGATACAAGTGAGAGTATGACAGACTCAAATTCAGGAATTAAACCGTTTCTTTGCGACTCAATCGATAAAGCAATACTGCGTAATGAGTGGAAAAAATGGTTCAGGGCATTACAGTTATACCTGGATTCTGAAGACATTGTAGACTTGGTTCGAAAGAAGAACAGATAACTGCATTTAGGTGGACCACAACTGCAAGAGGTTGCTTTCAATATACCAGGGGCAATCGAAACTTTTGTTCCAGAGGAAAACAACGACGTTTTTCAGACACTAGTCGAAAAACTGACAGCATATTTTTAAACACAACGCAATTCGACGTTTGAGAGACATCTGTTTCGGAACATGAAGCCACTAGAAGGTGAAGGGCTGAATAAGTTTAAACTGCGTATTCGACAGCAATCCGCGAAATGTACCTTTGGAGAGACAGCTAAACAAGCTTTAGAAATCAACCTCAAAGATAAGCTGATCGATAATTGGGCGAACGCCCAACTGATAAAGCGACTACTAGAAAAGGAATATACTTTGGACGAATCAACCGACATATGCCGAATTCACGAACAAATAACAAGCCAGTCACAAGAAATGCAACGAACAGAACCATCGACCTCAGGGATGAATGTACCGGAAAATCAAGTCAATAGACTGACGTGTCGCCAAAAACGTACCAACGATGGATGTATTCGATGTGGACGAAGAAATCATCGACCTGAAGAAGAACGATGTCCAGCGAAGAAAGTGAAATGTCATACCTGTGGCCGAATGGGACATTTTGCTTCTGAATGCAGAACAAAATCAGTCAATTTGGAATCTCGTAATGAGCATAGTTCGAAATCATCAGCACCACCTACTAAGCGGTACAGACAATCAAATCTTCATCACATTGGTATCGATGACCCAAATGATAAAGACTCTGATGTATCAGAGTTTGACTGTTTTCGAATAACCGAAGGAGATTCCAAGAACTACCAAATTCGAAAAAAAATCGCAGTGGATGACGACGAACTCATTGAATGTTCCATTGGAGGAATTACTATTACAATGCTCATCGATTCTGGCACAAGAGCAAATGTCATTAGTGGTGCAGATTGGAGAGAATTGGTGCAACAAAATGCAGTTATCTGGGATGTCAACACAAATGTAGAGAATATGTTAACGCCCTATGGGTCTCAGCGGTCCCTGAACGCAAAATGCCATTTCATGGCAGGAATTCGTCTCAACCAGAATAAAGAAATAATAGCACTTTTCTACATTATCGAAGAAGGAAAAATTTCTTCGTTAGGAAAACTTGCAGCTACTCGTCTGGAAGTACTGAAACTGGGAATAAATGCAGTTGAAGAATCACCTGAAAAGTTTACTAAAATGAAGGGCGTTGAAGTAAGATTGACAATTGACCCTGTGGTGAAGCCGGTACGACAGCCAGTGATATGCATACCCATAGCAGTCGAAAAACAAGTAGAAGCAAAACTAGACGAGGCACTCCAGAAGGACATTATCGAAAGAGTAGAAGGTCCAAGCGCATGGATATCTCCAATTGTAGTTTTGTTTAAACCATCTGGAGATATTCGTATATGCATTGACATGCGCAGAGCGAACGAAGCTATTAAACGTGAAAACTACCCACTGCCGACCTTCGACTCATTTATAACAAAACTTGAAGCTGCAAAATTCTTCTCAAGACTGGATTTGATGAATGCATACCACCAACTAGAACTGGAAGAGAGCAGTCGTGCAATTACGACTTTCATCACACATGAAGGCATGTTTCGGTACAAGCGTTTGATGTTCGGAGTGAACTCCGCACCAGAAATCTTTCAACGGATATTTGAAGCACTCTTAGCGGGCTGTGAAAACTGCCTCAACTATCTAGACGATATTATTGTTTCCGGAGCAACTGAAAAGCAACATGATGACTGTTTGGCAAAAGTCTTAGAGACACTAGAAAATAGTGACGTGCTACTCAACAAAGACAAGTGCGTTTTTGAAGTTGAAGAAATACAATTTTTGGGTCACAAATTATCTACAAAGGGAATTGACGCAGACGAGGCTAAAATAAAGGCCATTCGTGAGTTCCGAGCACCAACCACAAAAGAGGAGGTCCGCAGTTTTTTGAGATTAGTCACGTACGTACGGCAAATTCATTCCAGACCCAAGTAACGTGACAGAACCTCTACGACGTCTTACGAGGAAAGAAACACCGTTTAACTGGACAGATGAACATCAAGAAAATTTCGACAAACTGAAGCAAAGTTCAACTAAATCACCCACGTTAGGTTTCTTCGATCCAAGTAGAGCCACGCGTGTTGTCGCGGATGCGAGTCCAGTTGCATTGGGAGCCGTTCTCATCCAATTTCAAGATAATAAAACTTCTATAGTAATTTCTTTTGCAAGCAGAAGCCTGTCAGCTGTAGAGCGCCGTTATTCACAGACAGAAAAAGAAAGCCTTGCATTGGTATGGGCAGTTGAACGGTTTTACTACTACCTGGCGGGTTCAACTTTCGAATTTGTCACAGATCACAAACCTCTCGAAGCAGTCTTCAACCCGACTTCAAAACCACCAGCACGGATAGAGCGTTGGCTTCTCCGTCTGCACGCGTTCAGATTTAAGGTTAAATACGAAACTGGTAAATCAAATATCGCGGACTCTGTGTCCCGACTTTGTCGGCTAATAGATACAAAAACATATGATACGGATAGCGAGGTACATATTCATTCAATCATCGAAAGAGCTAGGCCAAAAGCGATTAGTGTATCTGAGATTGTCAAAGCAAGTATTGAAGACTGTTTACTAGCTAGGACAGTCTCAAAAGTAAACAACGAATCATGGGAGTTATCCGACAACAGTCCTTATTATCCATTCCGAAATGAATTCACAACCCTAGGACCAGTTTTATTGAGAGGGAATGAAATTGTCATGCCAGAGTCATAACGGGAACGTACATTGCAACTTGCACACGAAGGACATCCAGGTCAAACAGTAATGAAAAGGAGACTCCGGGCGGAAATATGGTGGCCCTCAATTGACCGTCATGCCAAAGAAGCTGTCAAAACATGCAGGGACTGTTTATTGGTGTCCCTACCGTCGAAACCGGCACCCATGAATCGACACGAATTCCCAACAGCTCCTTGGAAATTCCTGGCTATCGATTTAATGGGCCCACTGCCGAATCAGGAACAAGTGTTGGTTGTTATTGACTACTATTCTCGGTATCAAGATATCAAATTCCTACGTTCAACTACAGCTACAATAATAATTAATTATCTGAAGGAACTCTTCTCCAAATTGGGAATTTCTGTATCCATCAGAGCAGATAATGGACCACAGTTCGCAGGAGTCGAATTCGACAAGTTTTGCGACGACAATAACATTCGACTCATTCATACTGCACCATATTGGCCCCAAGCAAACGGAGAAGTAGAGAATATGAACAAGTCACTGTTGAAACGACTTTAGATTTCTCATGCGGATGGGGATCGCGACTACAAAATGGCATGCCAAAATGCCTCATGGGACAACAGGAAAAACTCCATCACAATTGTTGTTCGGACGAAATATCCGAGATAAAATCCCGTCCATATCCGACTTTACTATCGAACACGAAGAGAGGCTAGAGATACTGACACAATCAATAAACAAAAAGGGAAAAAGAAAGAAGATAGAACAAGAAAGGCGAGTTATCAGGAGATAATTTCTGGAGACGAAGTTTTGGTCAGAAATGTTATACAGCATAACAAGTTGACGCCGAACTTTGGCAGCTCTGAATACCGCGTCATTCAACGGTCGGGTAATGAACTTTTGCTTCAAGGAGATGAGAGACAAATTCGTCGAAATATAAGCCACGTGAAAAAGCTTTATTCAGTTACAGATAGTTCTGTAGTTACAACATCAGCGGCAGCAGCGACGTCACCATCCACCATGAGCCCTGGGTGTCAAGCAGATCACATTAGCCGGCCATACACGGAAACATTTTCCTACGAGGTTGGAACGTGACGCGCCAATCCTGCCCGAAAGAGCGCTCGTGTGTGTGGTGCAACGCGCCATTCCACGAGCCGTTCAGTCGTGCGGCGGTTGTGTTGACGCGTAAAACCAAAAATGACGGATACGAGGTAAGTAAAATATATGGATTTATTATTTTTGTTCAAAGTTTCTAAACCTAGTAGAATCATGCTGATACTTATTTTTTCGTACAATATCGAAACATACATTTGATGATTAGATGAATTACACAACTGTGCCTTTTTGTTTCCCATTTATATCCCTAGAAAATCCATCAAAATTTTCGTTACAGGTACTTTTCTAAAGATTTCATGACAGAATTCATAAGAGTATATAGGGAACATACATCTTTATGGAAAATCAAGTCTAAAGCGTACATGAATAAGAATTTGAAGAATGTAGGAATAACACAATTGATTGAAGTGTGCAAGCAATTCCAAATAATGGAGGCGGATAAGAACTTCGTTATGAAAAAAATGCAATCAATTCGTGGATCATTCAGGAAGGAGTTGAAAAAAATTAAAGATTCGCAAAGAAGTGGGGCATCAGCAGATGACATTTACCAACCAACATTATGGTACCTTGAATTATTACAGTTTACAATTGATCAAGAAACAGCTACAGACAGTATTTCGAATATGGAGAGTTCAACCAGCGAAGTTGGTGATTCTTGTAAAGAAAGGCAAGACCAGCAAAGCAATAATGCAGCTTGAATTGAAGGAGAAAACTCAAGTCAGGAAGAGGAAGGGGAAAGTTCCCAAAATGAAGTGGACGTCACTGAGGTAAGAACAAATATATATTCCTATTACATCAATCATATCAAGAATTTCTAACTAAGCTTTTCCTTTTCTGAGCATTTCTTCTTGCCAGCTAACCTTTCCTTCACCCATGAAATATTCTACGTAGCTTTGTCTATTTTCTTTTGCTTTCTTATTACTGATGTTCCTTCCAGATGTCGATTGCAATCCAACAAGGCTAGAGCCATTTCCTCGCCATTCTGCTTCAATTATATTATTGTGACAATCTGCCTCTTCTCTATCAAATGAGGTGTTTGTGGTATATGATGGACTATGTCTTGTTAGAAAATTATGCAGCACACAGATAGCGCAAATGACATAGTTGATATTTTGAGGTTCAATGTTGATACTTGTCTGAAGAATTCGGAATCGTGATGATATGCGTGAAATGCGTTTTCCACTACATTTCTGGCACGAGAAAGTCTGTAGTTGTATATTCGTTTCTCATGTGACAGATCTTTTTGTGGAAATGGTTTCAAAAAATGTTCTCCCAAAGCAAATGCCTCGTCTCCAATAAAATTGAAATTGAGCTGTCTATCAGTTTCATTACATGTTGTAGCATGTAGATTTTCATTACTGTATATTTTGTCTGATTCTATAATATTCTGTAATGCTGAGCACATCTGACAGGATACTTTGTCACAATTTCATGGTTTACATTTTTCAATAACATAAATTGAACTCAATCTGTTTTATATTATTTAATTATTCTCAAACCTGATATGTGGATACACACCTGAGATTTCACACTGTACAATAAATAAAAATACTATTTCTATAAATACGTTGATATCTCTTGCTATATCTGCTTTGTTGTGATCCAAGTAGAAGGATGATTCGGATGGTTTCTACAGAAACTTATCTGAAAGAGATGAATAATATTAAGTAGGTGGTATAAAATACCATTTCAAAGACATTGTCATACTCACTTTTCACACTACTTTTTCCACTTGAAACTTCATCACAGTAGGACAATAGGTATTGATTGGATTTTCCAGGAATGCTGATGCGGATGGTTTCACTAGGAATCGATCATGGTGAATCAATTAACTTCGTTTGACATTATTTTCTTGATTGATGCATTTGATAAATTCAGATTGATGTTTTGATCTTTTTGATCTGTTATATCGCTTTACGTCAATTAGCTGTCGGTCATGACACCATGTCTCAACAGTGTCAAACTTGTCATGCGCCAAACGCCGATTCGGATTGATATGTCCTTAGATCATCATCGTCGAACCAACAAGCCGAGTATTCGTGAAGAAAGGTGTGACGTCATTTTAGTCATCAATTCTGATTGGTTCAGATAGTCATCTGGGAAGAATCAAGTCTCTGGAGGGAGTAGCGATAACGTCTTTTATTTTGGATATTCAAATTTTCCGCCAATTTGAAAAGCGGAAACTGTTAGGTTGTTCTCGAAGTTTCTGGAAATTTGGAGAAGGGATTTCCTTTCTGGTCGTGAGACAAGAGTCACTTCAGAAAATTCTTCGTGGTGGTCAAGTGCCATTTTTGTGGTGTGAACCGGCTTCTGAAGTCCTGTACCGCCTGGCGTTCTGGATCACATCAGGATATCCTGGATTTGCTGCTGATCTACAAGGACTGCTGGACTCTACAGATTTCTTCTGGTTTTGGTTCAAGAGGCAGGATCTTCATGGTTCATCACCCAGGCAGCCACGTGCCTACCTTCATCGTCATTTCAATCCCCAACCCTTCATAGAAGGGTTTTCTACCGGGAGTTTTCTACCGGGAGTTTTTTACCGGGAGTTCTACAACGGGAGTTATCCTACCAGGAGCACTATTCTTCCCAGGAGTATAATTGCTCGACCAGGATCTGTCATTTCTACAAGGCCCTCAGTGGCTGTATGGTAGTCTGGAATCTGGATATCGTCCCCTGTTTATTCCTGATGATGGATTTTCAAGGTGGAAATACGACAACTCTGTCAATGTCATCTGACATCCAGGGATGTGAAGTCAGCACCCCGCTCTCCGCCAACCTTCCCCGCAGCAGCTTCATCTGGTGGCACTAAAGCCATTTACCAAGGATAACTGGTGTAGGACACACCATACAGGTTTTGGACATGAATATATTTTTATTTTTCACTTTTATTCGCTCATATTGCCCATTGCTAGTGTGTATAATGGACCATTTTTGAATCATAGCCAGGTCATAAATTGATGAAAGGTACATACTTCCCCTCCACATAGTATACTATTTATACTATTATTCAATATTCAATATCTCTTTAAAATCGGCTATGACTATAAAACGTCCTTACAGGAGCTCTTGATTTTTCAAGTACAATATAAGGTTGGTTTATACATATTTTCATCCACATAATAGCAGGCAACAACAGTGTAGTTTCTCAACAGGAAATAAGTATCTAATATTTTTTGATTATGCATATTTGTCAAAACCTGTGATATGATATATGAGTCCTATCATCATAATTAAATGTTTTGGGTATTGTATATGACTGTTTTGTTTGTTTATTGACATGACACTCCAACTCACAACATCTCTAAGGTAAATTTAGGTCTTTTAGTCTGGGAGAACAACTAATATTATTCATTATCTGGTTGCTCAACTTTCCAGGTAACATTTCATTTGAATTAAAAGTTGCAGTGGCGCCCATCTTTTTTGTTTAACCTTATGATTGCTAGATAACTGAATTTTTGCTATTTTAACTCATTTTGATAACTCGAACCCATAGTGCCTACTGACGAAAAGCTGCCGTTCGCAAATGCACCTATTTTTCATAAAAGTAGAGCTGCAATGTAGGTAAATTCAAATTACCGTTTGATAGGGCTTGATGAAACAGTGTTTGTTCAAATACTCCTGCATCCCCAACGCGTCCATTTTTGCCGACATCGACGTAAACAAATTCATATTTGGCATTTACTGGTGCCATAAGAATAATGCTATAGAAATTTTTATATTTATAGAACTGTGCTCCAGAACGAGCAGGTGGAATAATCCTTACATGTTTTCCGTCAAAAGCTCCTCCACAATTTATTATTTGCCACCGTTCTTTGAACTCTGCAGCAATGGATTGCCACTCTTCCTTGGTTTTTGGAAACTATAAACAAAAAATCATACATAGTAAAATTCTCACTAAAATATTTCTTTTACAGGCATTTCAACCACCGGATACTGTCTCATCAAAGAGATTGAAGAAAAATAAATGTATTTCCAATAATGAATCAACTGCCAACTTCATGAATGCCTGCACTGAGGCTCTTTCGATCGGAAGTTCAATTACTGAAGAATTTCAAGCCGATGGAATGAATGTTTCAGCGAAATTACAAAAAATGAGATCATCACAACAGGTGTATGCTGAATATTTCATTCAAAAACTGCTAACGTGGGGAGCATTGAATAAACTGACAGAAAATACTGATTTGATAAACAATATTCCATTTGCATGCAGTCCTTCTACAACTCAAGAACCTACAATTATTCAGGAATATAACGTGATGTCCCCACCAAACACTGCTAGTACCAGTTCATCTACAGCTGCAAACTTTTTTGGAAACTTTTCAACTTTCACCAATATATGATATTGATTCAACCAATTACATTTGTTATATTATAGAATAATTTTTTAGTTCATTACGTTACTTGTGTTATAATATTTTGTTGATGTATATGATGAATATGAAATGACATCACATCGAAATAATGTCAATAAATGAAGGAAACCTACCTGCATATATGAGTGTTTCAATGTATGATATATCACTTCGTAAGTTTCTGGAATGATATAACCCAATGCTTGAGCTGAAATGCCAGTTGAAAATTTTAAATCTTCGTAAGTTCTTCCTGTTGCTAAAAATCTTAAAGTGGCCATCAACCTTTCTTCTGGAGGTATTGAATTTCTCATCACAGTATCTTTTTTGGTTAAATGAGGTCGCAACATTTTTTGTAGGACATCAAATGTTTCAATATTCATTCTCAAATAGTTTTTGAAATCCTCTGGATAATTCTCTATCAGTTCTTTTAGGAGACTAACGTGACTATATTTATGTTTTTCAAGTAACCAAGTCTTTGCCAATCCCGTCTCTTACGTCTTTTTTTTCAACCAAGCTTGAGTAAACATAAACCATAGAACATGCATGTACAGTTTTTTGTTTTTTGTTATTCCACATATTTCCAGACTTGTAGTTTATGTATACGTTTTCACACTGAGAACTCCCGCTCCCCAGAGAAATTTTAGAATTCCTAAAATCCTACACGCCACACTATCCCGCGCGAAAACTGACGTTTTTCTTCCACTAACTTAAATACTTTTCCTTTCACATCCGTACCTGCGCGATTGGTGTGCTATGAATCACTTTACGTTAGTGGCCAAATCCTCTACGTTCCAATCTCACGAGCTTGCCCGCATACTTTCCTGTCACTCCAATCCCGAGGGAAAATGTCTTGGTGTATGGGCACCTAATGGCGGTAGCGACCTTCAGCCTCCTCAGGGTTCCTCAGCATCGTCCGATCCTAGGGTGGAACCACTACGTATAGAAAGGAAGGAAGGGATGTGGAGACCCAAGACAGTCACCGACGAGATAACGATGTCTTGAGTCAGCACTGACGCAACGATGGGTCATGCTGGCGTGGTCGAATCAAGTTAGTAGAGTTCTGATTATTACCGACTACAGAGGTATTGAGATTATTGTGTTTATTCAAATCATTTTGTTTATGTGAGTTATTGTGATTTGGTGAATATATATACTTGAGTAATTACAATTTGTGTTTGTCTGTAAACCCAGGATAGCACAGGCAATGTCTATATAGGAACCTCCATAGGCAAAAATCAATAAAAGGTATGTATGTATTCTATCTATTGGGTACGTAGGATAAAAAAAAGCATGGCTTATTCATTTGATAATAGATTTTATCATAATAATCTAGCTATTAGGTGTCG